CCATTTATTAGGGTAAATATTTTGTGGCATAATCTCTGGCTGCATTTTCATTTTCATTTCCTCTCTGATTTTTTTTTCCCACACTGCTCAAATTATACCTTGGTGCACTGAAGTACAATCTATCAGTAGTTAAAATTATTAATAAAAGTCACTCCTGATACACATTATAGAAGTGCCATAAATTGTCAATTTGTAATTCACATAAGAGAAAGCATTTCTCTTTTATTTTTACTTTAAGATATTTAGGGAATTAGCAGAGGAATAATTCAACTTGCATAAATGGTTCAAATGTTTGTAAAGGATAAAAACTTCATACAACCTAAATAACTACCCTTACCACAGGAACTTTTATTACAAGTTGTTTCTATACAATCAGATCAGGCTATTATTCACACCACAGAACACTAGAATATTTTGTTCCTGCTTGCCTTATAATACAGCTGTAAATGTGACTTAAACCATGGATGCCTTACACCGCTTTTGATCTCTGTGGGAGTATGCCTCCACCAATGCATTTTGCAATGAACGAGAAATTCTAAATGGGTAAAGATAATTTTCTAAGAACTGTTTATTCAAATAGTGACTGTTTCTCACACTTGTGTACAGATGTGAAAGTATGATTCCCGGTGTTTAAAAAGCCTTTTTCTTTAACTACTGTCTTGTGGAGCTGCAATTGTCTCTTGGGTGCTGTAATTTATTCCATTAATGCTTGAATAAAAAAATGTCCTAAACCTATTATGTGGACAGGTCCTGTGTGATATCTGATCAATATGATAAATAAATGTCATGCACTCAACAGCACTATGTTTCTATAACTCATTTTTTTGTGCTAAGAGGCCCCTTAGGGAGCAACAATAATTAGCTCTACTGAGAAATACATAGCACCTTCATTACAGTGTGTTTACAGCAACAGCTTTGTGAGGCAGCACTGACACAGAACAATAAAGAACATAAAGGTTCCAAATGAAGGGAGGACATTCTTCTAATCTAACTTGTTTGGTTTGTTGTAGTTATTTGATCAGAGAGTCTAATTTCTTTCTCCTTTCTTTAAAAGAGCTAGGGTATAGGCTTCAATTTCATGGCTGTGTAGCTTGTCTCTTTTTCTTAGAAAATGTAGGTAACGTTCACATTTACTAGATTAATATTTTGAGATTTAGTTTAGTTTGGGTATGTAGATTAAGGTACAGGGAAACTCATGATAAGCAACATTTTTTGAGAATTCTGTCTTATTTGGACAAACTGTACAGTATAACCAACACACATCCAGAAATTCAATTTCTGAATTCCAGTATTTCAAGATACAGTATACAGCATTTGTGAATATTCTGCATGTTCTCAAATCAAAAAGTCTACAATTCACACAAACCCACACTCTCTCATACTCATACCGGGCCAATTTTCTCAGAAGCCAATTAAATTACCAGTATGCTTTTCGACTGTGGGAAGCAAACAGAATACCTGGAACAAACCCACATGAACACGGGGAGAACTTACAAACTCCACACAAATAGCAACCAAGGTCTCTAAACGAACTCAGGGCTATAGTGCTGCAAGGTAGCAATGCTTACCACTATACCAGCATGCCACCACACCATCTTGAATGTATATATTTAGTGTTTCAGCAGGTATTCACATACCATATGTGTCATGGATGTCTGAAAGGATGAACCGTGGAATGGCAGGAGAGTGATAAAGATCCTATGCATAGCAGCGAGACGGGGGTTAGTCCGGGCTCAACTGGTCAGGAAATGCCATTTAGAAACCTATGCCCTCAGACCATGGACAGGAGTGACCGGTTGCTAGGCGGGTCTCAGGACATTCGAACGTCAATGCTGAGCGAGGAGCAGAGCAGAAACAGGAAGTAAATAGACTACATAATGATACACCAGAAAGACATGAATCATCACAGGGAACTAGGAACAGGACAGAAGTAGAGCGCCCTCTAGGTGTACTGGGCGTGACAATATGCCTGTGTAATATAAATATATAAAGGTTTATATACATGCTATATACTGTATAATATTATAACATGAATATTATAATTTTCAACTAAAAAGTCAAATGACTTATTCGATATTACTATTGAAATATTATTACTATAATATTACAGAATGGCCAAATTACCTTACTTTACCTTTTCATTAATGTGAAGAATCTTGCTGTCATACCTGGAGATATCTGCAAGCAATAAACAAAAACATTAAGAAAATTGTGAATGCATCATGTATTGTTCTCTTTTTTGCTTATACTGTATAATCCTGTTAATAATCCAAAAGACAAAGTGAATATAAAAGTACCCATTGCATATTTATGATGCCTTAAGCACTTGTTTTGCTTCAAGATAGAAGCCAAAATCTAGAATAAATGAAAAATATAAAGCTCTACTCTCTAATGAATCCATCTTTTTGGAATAAATAGACCACCAAATGGCAATCCCCTCACCACGAACCCACTGTAATATTCTTTTTCATAATATGTACCAAAGGCAATAATGTGGATTTCAAAAGTTGCATTATTTATCATGTTAATGTTAGTTCGCAAGGTTGTGTTCTGTTGCTCATTGTGCCTTTTAGGTGGCTGCTGTCTGACTCAAGCAGCTACCAGATAATTTTTTTGTCTCATTTTCATGACCTGAAAATCAGTAAGTTCAACAACAAAAACACTGCATCTGGGACCACATTAGAAAAGTTACAATCTTGCTTAACTGAAAGCTAATGCGTAGCCCTGTCATTCAGGGTCATCACAGTGTCATGACATAGCAAGATGAGGGCATTAACTTAACTCTACTATTATCCTTAATATTGGAGTGAGGAAAAATTGTGGGTAAAGACAGAGAAAAAATATAATAATAAGGACCAAATGTCATCCTTATGGTGAAAAGAAAGTATTATTTTGCTCTCTTTTGTTTGTCAATTTTCAGGCTGATTTCAGCTATCTTGGGATTATGTATTACCATCATTCAGACCGTTTCTGATAAATAAACAATCAGATTATTGGTTTTAGTTATCTAGTTATTTGGAGTTCATAATGTGATTTAAAAACATCACAAGTGTAAAAATCTTTGGCTTTGGAGAAGTGCACAGTATGAATTTTGCCCTCTGTGACTGTCTAATGGCTTTTGCTGATTACTCTAATTGCCTCGAAGGTACAGTGTTTAGAGCCCCATGGGACTCAGAAATGACTTAAAACTATTTAATATAGGTCCTTAGTCCTGTCTTTAGTTCAGATTGGGTAAGTGTGCCATGTTCTTCATCATAATAGAGCAATATAGTTTTCCTGCTTTCTGTCTTTGAGAAGAAATTCATTTTTAGAATGAACCACTGAACCAGCATAGACATAATTTAGACAATGTATGAGTTTCAACTGTTTATATATTATAAGTGCAAATGTGCAGTTTTTTAAATTGCCATGTTGTATAAATGATGCAGATACACATGTAAATCTGCATTACCATACTTCACACAGCTGATTAATTGTGATGGCATTTTTTTTCTGTGCTATTTGTTTTGCATCTATCAGAGTATTGTTTGCAAAACTAAATGCATGCAGAAGATTATATGCTTTTGGATATGAAAACCTTTCAATAAGTCTCATTATGTCTCAGTATGATTAAACTGTTCTACTTTGTTTTCAATTTAGCTTAATTATGAAGCTGAATGTTTTGAAAAAATAACTTCTTAAGCTAATGGGAGAAGTGCTTGCAAGCAATACAGCTTTAAAGGGTGGGATTGAACATCACTGCCATCCATCAGGACCGTAATAAACTACTGTCTGATGTTAATTTAAAAAAAGCATTGAACCGACAGTATTGTAGATCTAATCCAATAGGTCCTTTGCATTGACTTTCTTCAGTGTCTTATATAATTAAAATTGGTCGATATGTACTGATTTAAGAAGGGGGCCTGCAACAAACAATGAAAGCGATTTATACACTTAAATATGTAACAAAATTGTAATTTACAGTGTATCCTGGCATCAATTGTTTTTAAAAGGAAAAGTGCAGTGGTTATAAAAGTTTGCCATTTACAAATATGCCAGTGAAAATGTGAAATGTTAAAGACATCTCCATGACTATAATAATAAGGGATTGCAGAACAATAAGACTGCCATACTGATTGATCGCTGTGTCTAGAAAATTACCTTTCTGAAGAAAGAAAACCATCTCACCCAACATACAGTCAGCATATGTCAATCTACTCTTGGGATCTGGCCAAGAACAGAGAGTTTCTGTTATGGATTTTGGGTTAGAGGCAATTACCATTGTCTAAGCAGGATTATGGGTAAATAGCAAATGTACAACAGTTTCATACGTAAAAGGGAATATTTAAAAAATATTTTTTAAATAACATTTTTATCCTTGTTTTCCATGTCAAGGTCACTTGAATTCAATCCGAATCTACCTCTTCTTTTAGTGTTTAAAACTCAAAAAATCATTTTTGGGTGGTGGAGACCATTAATTGATTGTTTACATGTATAATCGTGGTAATCACAAAATACTTCAAATGACAAATTCATTAAAATGCATTTTTAATATTAATCCATGTTTCATGATTTAATTATGGTTCTTTTCTTTAGAGGTAAACTTTTGTACACTTAAATGAAAGATTAACTTGAATTTTTTTTTTCTTTAGGAGAGTTGCCAGCAAACATTGAAAAAATTAAGGCAAACATCAAACCAACAATCTATTTTGTATCTGTTTGTGAATACAGTGTTAAATCAATATTTCAAACTTCAGGTGGCAGAGAGAGTCATTTTCACTTGAATTTTGTTTTCTGAATTGGAGAAACTAACCTATATACAGTGAAGTTCCTAAAGTAACACATCACTGCATAACAATTTAATTTGATAATCCTTTAACGCTGCTTGTTTGATGAGTACATATTTAACCTATGGCGTTTTTAGTTGTTAAAATGTCAGTTTTTTCCAATGCTGATGTTCTTCCATCTTTCGTGTATTTCAGGATAATTTCTCAGTATTATCTGTGATTTAAAAAAAAACCATGGATGACGCAAACCAAACAGGAGCTATGGTCACAGAATTCATTATTGTTGGTTTCCCGGGATTTCAAGACCCAGAGAGCAAGGCCATCCTTTTTACCATCTTCCTCACTGTGTATCTCATAATTATATTGGGCAATCTTCTTCTTATTGGCATATTTGCAGCAGACTCAGGCTTACACACCCCCATGTATATGACAATGTGCAGCCTGGCCATCATTGACATTACCCTTCCTACATGTACTATACCTACAATGTTAAATGTATTCAGGTCTACATCTTATGCTATCCCATTACGAGCTTGTTTTACCCAAGCGTATTTCTTTCTGGCACTGGGCACTGTGGAATGCTTCATCCTGTTGATTATGGCTTTTGACAGATATGTGGCCATCTGCCACCCACTGCACTACACCTCCAAAATGAGCCTCAAATTTACTTTGAAACTCATTACTCTCTGCTTTCTGGGAGGATTCCTGTGCCCAATACCTGCTATTAGTTTAGGGATGACAAAGCCGTACTGTGGACCCAACAAGGTTTTGCAGTGCTTCTGTGATTATTCTGGAGTTCTACGCTTGGCTTGTGCAGACATTGTCTTGACCAGCTATGTGTCTTTATCTGTTGCCATGTGTGTGTTACTGATCCCCATATTCATCATCCTGCTATCCTATCTGAAAATTGTTAAGGCAGTGCTCAAGATTGCCAGTCCAGTGGGGAGGATCAAAACCTTCTCCACATGTGGCTCACACATGCTGGTCATTTCTGTATACTTCCTTACTTTGACAGGTGTCTACATCTCCTACAGGATTCCTGGGACCTCAGTGGACATGCGCATCATGGCATCACTATTTCAAAATGTTTTCCCTCCTGTCATGAATCCAATCATTTACTGTCTGAGAACAAAAGAAATCAGGGTCAGCTTGATAAGAACCCTGAAAAAGACAAAGATTTTACCTAGCAGCTGGTGAAAAAATGTAACCCCTTAAGTCAAAATGCCAGTTAGTGATCAAAATATAGTAATGTTCAGCTTTTAATTGATCTTCATAACCATCAGCTGTGAAAGTATGAGTCTTTGAGAGTGTTTTTTGGATCCTTACAGAATAAAAAAAAGACTTTACATAACACTGACAAGGTCTTTGCAGATTGGTGGATAATATACACGCTCACGCTATGAGCCTGTTAAGATTTGGGGGCAACATCAGTATGCTAGTTAAAAAGTGATAAGGAGAAAAATTAAATTTAATCAGTTATGTGAAACAGGGTGTTTTTCTTTAATTTTTCTTTATATTCTGAAATTGTCTTCTTAACCTAAGATCCTATATATATATATTTAGGTTGAATAATGTGTATGTACATAACAAGCATCAACAAAAACTCAACATTTATAATTGCAAAAAATCACCTAATTTTATTGAACATGTATGATATTGTAAATACTAGAAATATTTGCCGCCCTGCAGTAGGCCTTTTAATGTAATAATGCTGTAGTGTGTGGGCAGCATCAAAAGCAATATAAGCTATAAAATTTTGACATCTGCTGTCCAACATGTGTCTTGAGGATTCTAAAAAGGATGTAAAAAGGAATAATAAATAAACTGGACAATCATTTTCCTTTTCATTGTCCTCTGAGCCACACATTGTCCCTGCTCATGCCACACATGTAAAGGGGTCTGGTCTTTTTTTGTAGTTAGTATGGAATATTCCTTTTCATTGTTTTCTGAACACACAATATCTGGTGACAGTAATTATCATATTATTGTCTTTCAAGAAAGCTGTTGATTTATTTTTTTCCCTAATATTGTCATTTGAAGATGACCCCACAGGATGGATCACAAATAAAGGTTCAGGACTTTATCAATATAGAGCATTGAGATTTGTATTAATAGCTACAGGTAATAAGAGTTCCATGGTAACCATAAATGTGTTACACATACTGTACCATAACACTTAAACCATCCAATCAATTGGTCTGTTGTGTGAATCAATATTTAAAATCCATATACTTTCTTTATATCTAAAACATATATGTGTAAGTACAGTGATTAACTTCTGTTGCTGCTCAGTATATTAGGTATATTGGGTGTATAAGGCAGGATGTACAGTGTCAGGCGAAGGTAGTCACTCATATTGTAAAGATTTTTTTTGTATTATGTATGTGTTGTGTGTTCTTGAGTGTGTCAGTTTTCAGTAAGTAAATATTTGTAAGTAAATATTTGTAGTAATTTAATACTAGTTCATTCCTCAAACTTCCATGAGTAACAAATTACTCATGGAAGTTTAAAGAAATCTCACCTAGCATTTCATCATCATCATAAGACAATTGGTTTTATACATTGTTTTTATTCATGCTTGCATTATAATTGATTTTTTTTCTATTTAATTATACTTTCATATTTGTGTTTACTTTTGTCAAACCTACAAATATTGTGTTGTTTAAATGTGATACCTTTACCATGACAACATCTATATTTCTTGGCTGTAGCAAATCTAATCAGCTAAAATGGGAGAATTTAAGTTGTAAAGAGACCCTAATGAAGGAATACACTCCAGGACATATTAGACAAGTGTAGCAGAAGTCAATCCCAATGTCAAAGATTAATCCTTGACTACAAAAAATAACTCAAAGCAGTTGCCAAAAGAAAAGTGCAGAAATAGAATACCACTGTCAGTTCCTCCTTCTCCCCATTCTTAATGAACAACAAAAAGAAAACAAATCCTCCAGAGACATAATGAAATAGGTGGAGGGAGATCTTTCTTTCACCTCAGAAATATGGCTAGACTGCGCCCTATGTTATTACTAACTGTGGCTGAAAAGCTGATCAACACATTTGTCTTCTCATGAATTGACTACACTAATGCTCTACACTACATCTTACACTCTACATCTTAATCCACATTGAACAAACTCCAGTATGTCCAAAATTTGGCAGCCAGAATCCTGACCAGGTCTAGTGCAAGTGATCACATTGCTCCTATTCTGGAGTCCTTGCACTGGCTTCCTGTCAACTTTTGTGTCGACTTTAAAAACTTAATGCTCACCTGTAAGGCTCTGCATGAGTTGGCACCTCAGTACCTGTCTGAACTATTATTGCCCTACCCTCCATCTCACAACCTTTGCTCCTCTAATTCTGGTCTCCTAACTGTCCCCCAAGACCATTTACATTCTATGGGGTTGTAGGGAAAGCTGGTTCAGGGACGCCAAATATGTAATCA